GCAGTAGCTGGCTGGATTTCCACAAAGCTCCTACACCAAAGGATGCAGGAAAATGGGGGATGTACCCTGGCTGTTACTGAGGCATCGCATGGACAAAGATTTATTGGTTTACACTTCCTAACACTCCTCTCTATTTTATGATCATGGTTTCTATGTAAAGATGTTATGTTTCCATAAAAAGAATTAAGATTTTTTTGAAAGTAACAAGTCAGTGGTTTCCATCAGCAGTGACAAGATGATTACCCTACAGGAGAAGGAATTAGCAAGACTATTGAGGTTACTCAGTATCTATTGTGTCTCCTAATTACCTTGAGTTTTGCCACAGCAAGTGTTTGATGCATCTGTCACACCTGGAAAACTTGAACCTAAATTCAACTTTTATTAAAAGTAAAGAATGATGGTAAGGATTTGACCTAGAAAGCAGCAAGATTTGTTCATGGCATTTGTTGCCTATCAGGTTTTTTTAAAAACCTAAACTATTATACATTATAAAAAGAAAGAGAGAAAAAAACCCAAAACAAAACAAAACAAAACACACACACTGAGAAAAATTTAAAAATCCATTAAGTCAAAAATTAATAGTCTTTATTTTATAATTTCTTATAACTCTTCCCTCCTTCCCACAGGCTACTGGTTTATTCATTGCTTGGAGATAATTCAATCTCATACAAGCCTCAGCTGTAGGATGAAGAATGGTCTTCCTTTCTCTCCCAGAATGTGTGCAAGATGATGGGAGAAAATCAGCTGAAGAATATTTTTCAATCTTTTTCTAGACACCCTCTTCCACTTAACTTCTGGAATTGTTAATACCACACAACTGTCAATATTTATATCTCCAAAGCACAGGTTCTGCTATGCTCCTAACATTGATTAATACACTGAAAGTCATGTCATCAATATCATAAAATTAAGGGAGATATTTTTCTTAATCTCTGTCACTATTCCATCATAGAGATGCCAACCCATGAATCCAAAGAGACTTCAAGATACACTTAAGTACTCTATAGAATGAGCTCAATAAAAAAAGCGCAGAAGAATAATGCAAATAATTATGGCTTCAAAGCAGAGTTTAAATAATGTATAAATATGATATTAGCGCACAGTGGACAAGACCACGTTACTAAACAATTTCTAATTATCAAGCATTGCTGGCCTATGCACCCCAAAACCTTCCCTACATGCTCTACCTGCAATTAGTCAGAAGCACAAGGAAAGTAATAGAAAAGAAGAATAACTTCAGTTTCAGAAACATCATTCTGGCAACTTCATTAAAGTTTCATAATACTTTTTAGAAAGTAATGTATGTCTTCATTTTGAAAATAAACCTTTTGTTTCTTTAATTAAAATCATTTTATTTAGAGGATGAAGACAGAAATCAGTTTCAGACTACATTTAAATATAATTACACTGTCACATTCTTTTTCTCTTCATGTCATTTTAATATAAATTGAGTGATTCAGCATCAACAAAATTTGTGAGACTATTTCTATTGTCTTCACTAAGTACAGGACCTATAATGCAAATAAAGATAGCAGAGTCTTTATCACCAAATTATTGTCATTTCATACCAAAAAAATGGAACTCTAAAAATTCACATCCTATTTTTACATGGAATACAATTAATTTTTTTGAACTATTGGTGCAGAGTAACACTATGCTGTATAATATTTACATTTAACAAAGTTAAATAAATTTCTTCTGTATTCACATAACTAACCTATTTGTAAGGAAGGGGAATGCTGAGAATTCTGGCTCCTTATTTTAAGCTGATATACAAGGAGATCTAAATTACGGTAAGCAGCTTTAGCAAAGTGGACCACATTGGTTTAACTAATGTTAATGGGAATTTACACCCAGGGAAAATAAATTCCTCTCACAGTGATACTCTTGCTTTATTTTGAAAGGTAAAATAAAGTGTGTAACAGGCCTAAATATGTAGCAATGCTTTCTTACTCATCTTTAAAAAAAAAAACAAACCCTTTTCTCAAACTACGAAGCTGTTTAAAATTACTTACACTTTACAGCATTAGTCTCTCCCTTCCCCTAGAACTACTCTGTTAAATTTCAGTCCCAATAACTCTTCCCTCAAGGTATAATCTATGAATCTGTAGTGTCACAGTCATTGTTCCCATGGCAATAAATATAATATTCATGACATTAATTTAAGACTTCACCAAAGGATGAAGTAAAAGGGAATACAGGGCTTTTTTTTCTTTACATCCTTATTTCAGGACAGATATCCACAATAAGGTGGATATAAAGCTTGAATTACAGCTCTTGCTTTTTGTGTTTTCATGTAATTTTTTTTTCTTTTTTACAAATTCTATACACAATGAGGGAGTTACAATGCATCTGTGATAGTTTTACTGAGACAAATGAAGCACAGAGAAAGTCCAGCTACCAAGCAACCCGTAGTTACTTGCTGCTGAACAATAAATATAATCCATGAATTTAGACTCCAGATTTCCTTTCTCCTCTTTAAATTAGCTACAAAAGCAATAGTCTGTATGAATCTATACAAATGGCAGCAGACTTATTTACTTAAACTCTAGTGCGGCAGGTCTGGCTTCCCTTCTGGCTATGTAGAGAGCACACTGCAGAGCATCAGATGGGATGCTCTTGTTCTTGAGTTATTCCATCTGCTGTCCCATCATCTGGACAGCTTCAAATACTAACCTACAGCAGTCCTCCTAGGGCTGTCAAAGTTTTGAAACATTAACAAAGTGGGAAGAGTTTGGATGTTAGCCCTACTCACATTACACTTGCTTGGGGCATTCTTCTGTATATAAGTGCTACCTACACTTAAAGTAGATTTTCACTCCAGAATTACCTGCTACTCTCTGATGATTCCAGTCAGGTGGCCAGGCTGAAGATCTCTGAAGCCTACAAGTCTGAATTAGACGTAGATCTCATGCCTTAGCCCTGTGCAGTCAACATAAGGCCCACCCATTGCAGGAGGAACATGGGTAGTCTCAAAAATAGCACAAATCCTTTACTAACAATTGAAATAAAACTGTTGCCAGGACACACTATTTTTCATCTTGACAATGAGTGGTGAAGTTAAATAAGGAGCCCTATGAATAAACATACACCTGCTAAAACAGGAACAGCACCTGCAACACCCTGTACTTTTATCCATCCAACAGCTGTTGTGCCCATGAATGGAGTAATTTCATCAGCTGATTATCTATACACTGCTTATGGTTTATAACACAAGTAAATGTGCAAAATGGGAACATGTTTTTGCAAATACAGCTTATTTACAGCTGAAAACTTAGCCCACAAATCTCTTGTTCACAACACCTTCATAAAGTCAGTTGAGAACAGCAATAAGAAACAATGTCGGACTTTTTAGTAGCAGCATCCTTTCGAACATGATGCGTGCTACTGTGCAACAGTTAATACTAAAACAAAGTTTAACATTTCCCTTGAATTCTAAGTTCATTAAAAGCTTTCACAACTATTAGATGCAGCTAAAAGAATTCAGATAAAATGGAACTCAAATAATGTTGTATGAAAAAGAAAAAAGAATGAACCTTCTTTCACTCAAAGGATTTAATTTGCTGGAGCAAAATTCATTTTTATTACACAAAGTAGTATCTAGTAGTCTTGAACTTTTGTTTAAACACAGTAAACAGTTCCCACGCTGAAGGTATTTGTAGTGCTTTGTGTTGATGTATAGTTCTCTAAGGAGCTATTGAGAAAGAAATCCTATTTCAGAAGTTACATTAGGAAAACCACAAAACCCAGGATTGATTAGTGTTTGGTGGAGATTTTTGGTTTTGCTTTGTTTTTCAGAGAGACCAACACATTGAAGTCAAATATAGAAAGAAAAGACTTAAAAGAACTAAAGAAAATGTAAATAATTTTCAGCAAACTCTTAAAGAAATGAGTAACACTGACCTGGTCACAGGTAGCACTGACTCCATGGGTCTTGCTTCGCACCACGGGCTCTTTGCCTGCTCTGCGTACAGAAGTGATGACTGACAGTGCAGTGTCAGAGGGGAGAGATGGCCAGGAGCAGACCATAACACATTGGGGCTTGATGTTTGCCTCACAGATGCACTCTCTGAATCTCCAAAGTTGCTGGTAATGTTGTAATTCATCATAGCAGGACTGCAGAATGCCATTGCAGAATATTCATGTCTGTTTTCCACATAAGATGAGGGAATGTAGACTGGACTGTGTTCTGCTGTCAATGTGGATTGATTACAGCTGTAGGGAACTGGAGAGACGATACCAGCGGGTGAGTTTTTAATTTCTGTTTTATTGCATCCAATATCCTGAAGTGGCAGCAACTGAGAAAAGTCCTTGTGAGAAGATGCACACAGGGACATTTTGAAGCAAGACTGAAGATTGTTGTTTAAATATTCATCCTAAGATGGTAAGGTATAAAAAAAATTGAATTAAAAAGAAAGTTCTGTATTAAGTCTTTTCTATGAAAGAAAAAATGAACCAGTAAGACAGAAAATACAAAAATATCCTGTTAAAAAGATTACATACTAAATGCACTTAAACAGCCAATGTGCAAATTTACTACCTTTAAGAAAAAGAAAGATTTCTAGAACTTCCTTAAAAATAAAGACTAAGGCACACATTGAATTTAGAGTCCCTTAAAAAGTAATAAAAACAACGACAACAAAAAAAATCACTTGAAGTATGAAATAAAGATGCCAGTGACAACTTGAATCTTAACAAAAGTAACTTGTTACAATCAGAGTAAAACTGCTCTATGTCAGAGGCAAAATTTACCTGTGGTCCCACAACTATGGAGCGAATACCCTGAGAAACCAATTTTCTTATATAAACCCACACCTCCTGCTCCCATTGAAAGTGTGTGACTTCAGCCTCCCCTTTATCAGCACAAACATGCAACAGCAGATATTTTGCACACACACATATATTTTCTTTATCTTCCAAAATCAGAACTCCACTGCACATCCCTCTCCACAGAGGTGGAAGACATGTAGTGAATGTCAGTAAGCTATGAAACTTCATCACTGAGAGGTTCCTGGGTACAGCACCTCTGAACAGAGCCACTGTTAATGTAGAAGTCACAAAATGCAAATATTTCCAAAGCTGACAAGACAGAACTCGTGCAATTTCGTAAGGTCTGGAAGTTTTATAATTTCCTGCCATTCTCTATCCCCATCCCAACTACTCTTCATCCTTCCTCCCATCTGAATCAAGTATCCAAACAGAGATCTTAATTTGCCCACAGTAAATACTCTGTCAGATTTATGTATATCCAAATTATTTAAGGGGGAAAAAATTCTGAAAAGAAAGAAAAAAAGCCCACTAAAACCATCCTCTTAAGACATAACCCCTGTCCTGGAAGCATTACTTTTACAGTAGCATTTTAAAATATTTCTGTTTTATTCTTCACTAAGGGTTTAATCTGCAATTCACTCCAGCTCTGCAGACAGACATGCAGCCCTCTTATGCCTTGCAATCCAAGACAATTCTGTTTCCAAAACAGGCTCTAGAACTAGTGAGCTTTTACAGATGATAATAAGATCTTAACATGAAAAATCATGGGATAATTAAAAAGTCACCCACAACTTTGCTATTCCAGAAGTGGCCAATGTATTGATGCTAAATATTCTTACCTTTTTTCGCCTCATGTGAACATAAAGCAAGATGAGGAAAATTCAAACACAGGTTAGCTGAAGTACCAACAACCTCCCTGTCCCAAAAATTCTCAGACAGATGGTATTTCTAGCATGCCATCTTGGGGCATTAACACATTTTTCTCTTCAAGGACCAGGACCGAGGGTAGAAGCATTAATAAAAAAATGTAAGAAATAATCTTTTTGAATAAAATTGATTGTTACGGGTCTGTCCTTCCTTTTCAATTGGAACTCTGTTAATGAAACTGAAGATATCTGTAGAAATAAGCAGGAACTCATTTAAATAATCTCAGGCACTTCAGACCCAGCTGCTGTTTTTTCCTTTGTGGGAAACAGGAAAATGACATATCTCAGCAGCTGTTTATGTCCAGCAGTTGTTGCACTGGAACTTCAGTGCAGCCAAAGCTGGAGAATCTGACCTCACTCCTCATGCAATCTACACGCTTCATTTGACCCAGCCAGATGCTTCACAGTCTCCTCTAAGAGATACCAAACTTGCAGTCTTCACTGCAAGAAGAACTGAAAAACCCAAAGGTTCTTTCACTTCCAGATTATGGGGCAGCCCAAGTAATTTTTAAGCAGCAAATGATGGAACTAAAAAATTATCTTAAGACTAACTTCAGTGTTTATTACAAATGGGGTCAGTGAGAACACTGAATTCAAAATGCATTTAAAGCTTCTGTGGAGGCAAAGCTGTATACCATTTGTGTAGGTAAAGCTGTACACCATTTGTGTAGGTAAAGATGGTGAATACCATTTGTGTAGGTAAAGTAGGTGAATACCATTTGTGTAGGTAAAGATGGTGAATACCATTTGTGTAGGTAAAGCTATATACCATTTAGACACTGCACATATTCAAGGTGTGTGTGGACACCCTGCAGGAGCATCTGGGATGTCAAGCAAGAGCTGACTGTAGTGTGTCCCTCTGCCCCCCTGCAAAGGGCACAGAATGCAGGGTAACCCCAAACCCTTTGGGGAGAAGGACCTGAGAGGCATTGCAACATCTCTGTCATAGTCAGCTAGAGACATTCTGCTGTGATACTTTGACAGTTTTTGCAGCAGGCAACTGGTTGTGTAGTTTCCCTCAAACATTTGGAAAATACATGCATGTATATCGGTGCTGGGCCCAGTCCTGTTTAACATCT